TTTTCCTGCTCTTCTTCCAGGACTCTTATATGGATTATTACACTTTATGGAATTGTTGAGTTCCCTAAGTCTATATTCACGATTCAATAGCTTCTTTCCCTCTTCTTTTCAGTTTCATTATTGTCCATACTTTTATTTTCTAGATCATCTATTCATTCTTCTGCATCTTCCATCCTTGTTATGATTACATTCAGTCGGTTTTGCATCTCAGTTATAACATTTTTTATTTTGATCTGACCAGTTTCTATGCCTTTTTATCTACAGGAAGGGTTTCTCTGGTGTCTTCTATGCCTTTTTCAACTCCAGCTAGTATTCTTATGACTGTAATTCTAAATTCTTGTTCAGATATATTGCTTATATCTTTTAAGCAAGTCTGTGATTTCTTCTTAATCTTTCTTTTGGGGAGATTTCCCCTATCTTGTAATTTTGGCTAAGTTTCTGCTTTTTTGCATGTTATGAAAGCTTGCTATATTTCTTGCTTCTAAGAGTAATGTTACATCAAAAAGGGTTATACACTGTCCAGGGCCTGGTGCTTCAGAAAGTGTTTCTGGTGTATGCTGCATATACTCCGCTATTTTGTTTTGGCTGCTCTTTCCCACAGGTCAGTACCCTACAGAGTTCCTCCTTGCTTGCATTGGGGAGTGTTTGGACCATAATGAGGTGTGCTTTGATTTGTTTGTTAAGCCTGATTTAAAACAAACAAACAGACAAACAAAAATAGGAAAAACCTTGTCCAAAAAAAGAGAAAAGGAAAAAGAATAAAAAAGCAAACAAACAGATAAACAAAAAAACTGTCAGCGTGATTCCAAAGAAAAATTAAAAAAAAAAAAGAAGGAAAAAGAAGCTTTATTCAAAAAATGAGCAAAGGTAACAAACAAACAAATGAACAAAAACTATAAGCCTGATAGAAAGAAAAAAGAAAAAAAAGGTGGGGAGGGGAGAGCCTCGTCCTATTTCTACCAGAACTGGAGCTGTTGCTTTGGAACACTCTGTGATCAGTAGACTTGGTACATGGAGGGGGTGGGGTGGGGGAGTTGTGTTGCTCCTGTTTGAGAGAGCCCCACAGTACAGGCTCACAGCTGGACCTGCCCTGGTAAGGATGCTCCTGTAGGATTCAGGGAGGTGACGTCTGATGTAATCAGCTCTGGCCTCCACTGGAGCTGCTGTGTTTCTCTTTGAAGTCCAATTATACTGTGGGGGGTGTTAGAAGATGGCATCACCCCCCCCCCCCTATTGTCCCTGGGGATGGGAACTCAAGGCTGCCACTATTCAGGAGGCCTTCACAGAAAAATGAAAAATCTCCCCTCCTATGTCCCAAGAATCAGTCAGATTTCTGCCCTCAACCTGTCCATGCCCAGGCCGTCAGCTGGTGCCACTGTTTTCCTGTGTTTTATATCTGTCTGGTGGCTGGAATTCAAAATGCCAAATCTTAAAGGACCCCGCAAGGTATGAACTTGCTCCCTTCCCCTGGAGGAAAGCCTCACAGTACTGGGCTGGGCATGGTTCTCTCCCAGAAAAGCAGTCACATGTCTGCTCAGATGTCTGGAGTCTATGGTGAAGCACAGCAAAAAGCTGCAACCAGACTATCTGTCCTCTGCACATGCCTCATGTTGTACGCCCACTCAGTGGCTCCCTTCCAGGGTCCTTGTCCTTGGAAAGGCAATATACCTTTTTCCAAATGTACTCCAGTAAGGGGAATATTCTCCCCCAGTGTGACCCAGAAGATCTACACACCATGTTATCCACCATCTACTCCTGGGCTTCTGTCCTACTTCTTCTCAGGAGTGCTGCTGCCTACCCAGCTGGACTCCTCAGTCAATTTCTTAGTTGTTTAAAATGTTTTGATGCTAGTCTAGCTGTGTTCAAGGGACGAGGCAGAAACCTGATATACTTCCATAGAACTGTATAGCTTTTTGTAGTGTACAGAGTGTCCCTCCAACGAGAGCCTCTCACACAGCAATGGATGCAGCAGCAGTGGGCTGAGCTCGGAGCAATCTGGCAGATGCTTAGTTGTTAACTCTTTGCATTGACAGTTGGGCTGTTCTAAAGGGACTAGCCCTATGGCTTGGACAATGGAAAATCAAAGTATGGATGATCATAAACAAGCCTTTGTGGGGGAAAAATGTGTGAAAAGACATTTGAGTCTGCAAGAACCTGAGTCAGCCTTTACTTTTTTCCCATCACATCTCATAAGGCACTGACAGTCAAGAAGATGATCCATTAGCTCAGGTACAAGTCTACTGACCCTTCCATAGATACAGCAGATTGGGGGCATCAGAGTGCCTGAGTAGGATTGTATATTGTCCTTGAGATTCAAGGACTTAGCTAATGCAGTAGAGCCTGTGTATTCTGAACAAAAGCCAAGGCAACTGCCAAAGAATCTAAGACATCCTTTTTAGTTTTTAGTTCAGCTGGTGAGGGTTTGACAAATTCATCATAATGGCCCTCTCCCTCTGAGTGCAGGTTCTAAATATGTTTTGGGTTGTATCTGGCCTAACCCAAGATTTCCCCTGCGACCGTGCAAACCAGGCTGCCACCCCTAGGGATCGGAGAAACTGACTACCATATATGGATAGTGATGGGTGGTCACATTTCAGAGGTCATATTTTACAAGAGTGGGTAATAGCATATTGACTTTAAATAAAGGTTCTATCTTCACTATAATCCACACTCAGCAGGGTTGATAGAAAAGGTAAATGAGGGCAGCCCGGGTGGCTCAGCCGTTTAGTGCCACCCTCAGCCCGGGGTGTGATCTTGGAGACCCGAGATCAGGTCCCATGTCGGGCTCCCTGCCTGGAGCCTGCTTCTCCCTCTACCTGTGTCTCTGCCTCTCTCTTTCTCTCTCTCTTTCTCTCTCTCTCTGTGTGTCTCATGAATAAATAAATAAAATCTTAAAAAAAAAAGAAAATGAAAATGAAATATTAAAGCAGCAAGTTAAATTGTTAACAGATAAAACCACTTTGGGTAAACTAAAATACAGTTCCAGGCTTTAATACATTTGAATGATCAACCAGCAGAGCCTGTTGCTCTATATGCCAGACCAGGGATCCCTGCCAAAGTGTCTGATACTGTAATAGAAATCATGGGAAACAGACTGCCCCAAATCTCACAGTGGATCAGTGGGGTATACTACTGAGAAGCCAAACCCCATCACCCACTTGGGAAAGTCTACTGGAATATACAATGGAATATCCCACCAAGATGGTTGTGTTACTTCCCACTCCTGAGATAGGGGGATCTACTCAACCTCTACTGGGATCCTATTATCCTACTGCAAGCTGCACATGCTAAAATGCCCGATGCCTGGAATGTAGCGTGTGCCATCAAAAGAAAGAAGATGGGTGTTCTCATCTGGCATACCTACTCCCAGTCCATCTTCTCCTGCCTGACAGTGTTGTCTCCCCTGGCCAACCTGTGTTGTATGTACAACCAGCTCAAGTTTCTAAAGCTGCCAACTTCCCTGTTCTCAGGACCAGTGGGGAAACATTCTGTTTTTTCACCACTATGATAATTTGGCTGCTTTTTCCCCCTCCATTGACCTGGAGGACATTTTAACACACACAGAAGCCTTTACTAAATTCATCCAGTAAGCCTTAAGGGATAGCCAACAAAGCCTGTCCGCACTGAATGTCGAAAAGTCTCTGATGAGAAAATCTCTCCAAAATAAAATTACCTTAGACATTATCACTGTCTCACAAGGACAGCTGTGCCATTATCCAAACAGAATGTTCTTTGTTCATGCCTGGTAGATGAGCCTACTAATGTATTATATTTATTAAATTTCATGAGGACACAAATGAATGCCCTGAATGATCTGACCCACAGGTTCAGGTAACTGATAAATCAATGGTTCAGGTCATGGGTTTCTGTAGAAAAAGTTGTCACTGATTTTGGAAATTATTATTCTAATCTGTGTTTTCTCTTACATGTGTCTATATCATAGCTATGGCATTTGCTTTCAGTGCAGCCAAACAGCTGCCAAACGAGCAACTCCATACTAGTGAAACCCCTGGCTGCCTGCCCAGGGCCCACTGCAGAAGAGTGGGTCATGTGAGATTGTAAGATCCAGTCATGAAGGATGGAATGTTAGGGAAGGTCAGTGGAAAGATATGACGGCCAGTTGACCTATGAGCTGGAACTTAACGCTCAAAGGCTCCTCACCCTCTCCCCTGTAATGTGGGTTCCACTTATTGTTCTAAGGACGTTGCTTTGAGATAATTATGTGGTATTGGAAAATCTACAGAGTATATGTGACTAAACTCAGTTAAAATCTCTTTCTAAACTTTTAAGATTTTGCAGGTGGGTTCAAGGATCCATTCATACTGCTGCCACCCAAAGGACACTTCATATGTAAATTCCTTTTGCTTATTAAAACTGCCACTTGCTAACCTGAAGTGGGCTGCCTCTTTTTTGTCTCCCTGCCCTCTGAACACAGGGGTCAATTTCAGATTATGCCAGGGAAGCTCCTGAGATGGTTATGAACCAACATAAATTAGTACCTTTAAAAAAAATAAATACAAAGATCAATAAAAATGTTGGAATTTTTCTGAGATATTTCTTCCTTATACAGAGCAATTCAGTTCTGTTGTAGCTCCTAGCCTGTGAATAAACATAATCCCTCTCATCAGAAAAAAAATCAATTTAAAAAATATTTTCATAATTAGTACTGATAATAATAATTTTATGTTGCATGGGCATGAGAGGTATTTACCATACTTCTTAATAATAATCAATGATTATTAATTATTACCAATCATTATTTCAGATATATCCAGACATCCTTGTTTGGGTGGGGGAAGGTGAAGGACTGCAGAGTTCATAATAGCAAAGGCAATATTTAATGCAAATAGTTGCCAGAAAACCAATAGAAGGGAACAACTTTAACTCAAGGTTAATCTGCTTAGTCATGTAATAGAAATCGAATGCCTTAGGAGTAAACAAATCTGTACAACCTCTTCCTTATTTAAGATCATATTTCTCAACACATTATGCTTACCCAACTAGGATATACTTAAATTCAACTTTCAAGTAGCAAACAAGTGCTATTAAAGCTCTCGCTGAAAACTTCAGGTAAGAAATTTAAAAATCTTATGACAAGCAGTATGTAAATATTGTATATATATATGTGTATATTGTATATTTATATATTGTAATGTATATTTAGATTCATGTTTTCTTCTGAAAGAAATATCGGTTATTACAAGGTTATGGGTTTTACTTTTAGCTTGTTTTACTACTTAAAAAGGTTTCCAGTCCTATTTTTAAATAATTTGGGTTTTTTCCGATCTAGGTGTTATAGTTTAGATAATTTGATAGATACTGAAGGAACTGTATTATAGAGTAGTCAAGTGAAAATTTTATCCCAGTGCAAGCTCAATGGCCTCCTTAAAGGTAGGTCTGTTATTTTCAGTTCCTACCAGGGGACAGTTTATTCGGTCCTTCACATAAAGTGAATACATAAAAGCAGAAATGATTCTCTCAAGTGACTGCTACAGCCTTTAAGATAGCATGTGTATAAGAAGATTTCATCCTTTGGTGGTTATTTTATTTTCTTAATGTTGCATAATGGATTTTCTATATTTATGTATTTTAAATTTATATCAAATAAGTTTTATGCAAAGTCAAATTTATTTATTAAAAAAAAAAAAGGGATAGTTAGGGCAGCCCCGGTGACACAGCAGTTTAGCACCACCTGCAGCCTGGGGTGTGATCCTGGAGACCAGAGTCCTGCATCAGGCTCCCTGCATGGCGCCTGCTTCTCTCTCTGCCTGTGTCTCTGCCTCTCTCTCTCTCTCTCTCTGAATAAATAAATAAATAATCTTTTTTTTTTTTTTTAAAAAGGGATATTTAAAGTTTCTATAAAGAAAATCCTGTAGTAAAGGCAATAATCAATTTTGGTAATGCAATACCATGTGTGTTCCCTTTTTGTGCAATTAATTAAAGTACATCTTTTATTATCATAATCTAAATTCTTCTCATGCTAGCATGCTGACACAAATATACTATGCTGATTTTTATCACAGTTATATATGCAATTATCTTCATTGAGAGCATAAAATGGATATAAGAATTATCTCTTTGATTCATCTTTCACTTAGCAGGCAGTTCTCTGCTTATAGAAATACAAATAAACTGAATAAAGACTCTATTTTAATTGTTAAAAACTGAATCTGATTCCCTGATAGTGAATAAAATGAGTAAAATGACAGTGAATTGTTACCAGTTGTTCATTCTAGTGAATCACAGCAAGTGTTTTTAAAGTATCTTGTAACTATCGATCAGGTAGGCACCAGCAGGCAGAAATTTTTTGCATACTGTAAAATCTTAGTATAAAGAGCATGAATTGAAATCCGCACAACGATCTGTGTGATTAGTCTGCTAAACTCTGAATAGTACTTTGTAAAAGTTAGCAGTTGTTTTAAAGAAGCAGTGTTTCACTATCAATTATCTTCAGTAACGGGGAGTTCAGAAAAGATATCACTAAACATATATAAGATTTCTAATTTCAACAGATTAAAACAAAAAGTCATTTCTGCTTATTCACAAACATATGCACACATATGCACAATTTTAATAGAGATTATTTTACTCAGATGATTTATCCTACATTGTCCAGGATGGGTTACACAAATTTGTATTGTGCATTTTATATTGTGTCAGCATGTTTGGGGCACTTTATGGTTTATATGGATAGGTTCCCTATAGCGATGAGGGGGCAATGTACACTCTGATAGGACAATCTATCCTAGTGATTAATACAATAGGCTCTGGGAGCCAAAGACCCTGAAAGCTTATTCTATCATATGAATTTGGCAATTACTAAACTTCTCTAAACAATGGTTCCTTCTTTGATGTGAGAATATAGGTTCTACTTCATTGGGTCTTTTTTTTTTTAGAGAAGAATAAATGAGATTAACATATGTAAAACATTTGCACAATGTCTGACACACAGGAAGTGCTTAATTAATACTAGCAATTATGAGGGACTCCTGGGTGGCTCAGTGGTTGAGCGTCTGCCTTCGGCTTAGGGCGTGATCCTGGAGTCCCGGGATAGAGTCCTGCATTGGGCTCCCTGCATAGAGCCTGCTTCGCCCTCTGCCCATGTCTCTGCCTCTGTCTGTGTCTCTCGTGAATAAATAAATAAAATCTTAAAAAAAAATATACTAGCAATTATGAAAGGTTTGGTCTAAACGTAGTTGTTCTGCACGCAGACCAGCTAGCTTTTGAGCAACACTTTCCATAGAAGCAAATTTGAATTAGTAATTCTCTTCAAAGAATTCCTACTGATTAGTAATGTTACCCATCTCTTGCATGTATATTTGTACACAATTCATTCATTTACTTATAATCTTTTCTCAGTGATTTTTAATACAAATATTTTCCTAAACATGGGGTGCCTAGGTTGCTCAGTGGTTAAGCATATGCCTTCTGCTCAGTTCATGATCTTGGGTCATGGAATCAAGTCCCAAGTTGGGCTCCCTGCTCAGCAGGGAGTCTGCTTCTCACTCTCCCTCTCCCTCTCCCTCACATTTGTCCTCTTTCTTGCTGTCTCTCTCAAATGAATAAATAAAACCTTTTTAAAATTAAAAAAAAATCCTAAACATATTATTAAAGTAGTAATAAACATTACACATCCTTTATTTGCTTGTATTTCACATTCTTGTAAATATTCTCCTTGTAGTAATCCTATCTATTAAGAAATAGTAACTACTATAATAATATTTAATTGTTGTTAATGATATTATATTAAATGTATTAAATATTGGAAAATCTATAGCCTTGGCATCTCTACATTTATGAATAAGTTCTGACCCAATCTGATATTTCAGTACCCAGGCCTGAAGGTAGACTTGAGATATACAGTAGCTTCAAAGAATTCAATAGTAAGAATTTCACAATTATGAGATGCAATGAAAGATTTGAAGGATCAAGCTTTAAAAAACAATCATAACCCAAGCTAAAGGAACAAGTTGAGAGATAAGACACATGTTACCCAAGCCTGTAATTACTATAAAATATGATGCTACCATGAGTAATATCATTTCGTTGAAAGGATGCTCTTGAGGGTATCAGTTGTTTTGAATCAAAACTGAAAAATAATTTGTCTTTCTTTTTTGTTTGAAAAACAGATAAATTTGTTTACAGTTTCACATCTCATCAATCTTCTACATCAAGCCACATCATGTTAAATAAGAATATTCTGCTGTTGTCTCTCAAGATTAGTCTCCTAGGAATCGCCCTTGGTGGGAATGTTCTGATTTGGCCAATGGAAGGTAGTCATTGGCTGAACATTAAGATAATTATAGATGAGTTGATTAAAAAAGAGCATAACGTGACTGTCTTAGTTGCCTCTGGTGCACTTTTCATCACACCGACCTTTAACCCATCTCTGACATTTGAAATATATAAGGTGCCCTTTGACAAAGGAAGAGTAGAAGGAATAATCAAGGAATTTGTATTGACATGGATGGAAAATAGGCCATCTCCTTCAACCATTTGGAGATTCTATCAGGAAATGGCCAAAGTCATTAAGAACTTCCACATGCTGTCTAGAGAAATCTGTGATGGTGTTCTCAAAAACCAAAAGCTGATGGACAAGCTGAAGAAAAGCAAATTTGAAGTCCTAATATCAGATCCAGTGTTCCCTTGTGGTGATATAGTAGCTTTAAAACTGGGAGTTCCATTTATGTACTCCTTAAGATTTTCTCCAGCTTCAACAGTGGAAAAGCATTGTGGGAAGGTACCATTCCCTCCTTCCTATGTTCCTGCTATATTATCAGAACTCACTGACCAGATGTCTTTCACTGACAGAGTAAGAAATTTCATCTCCTACAGTCTACAGGACTACATGTTTGACACTCTTTGGAAATCATGGGATTCTTACTACAGTAAAGCTTTGGGTATGTAATTTTTTTTATGATTATCTGAATTTGAACAGAGTTTTGTATCTTCTCTTTATTTCCCTGTGGCTATTATTTTTCAACCCTACATATTGATAACCATCTATTAGGATCATTTGAGAACAGGAAGATGAAAGACAATATGCTTTGTAACTATAGTGTGTCATTTTCTAATTTTGTGGATTCATATATACCAACTTAGTTCTTTTATGGATAACATACAGCGACAGTTTAAAAACAGGACTGAATTCTAATTTAGTTATTACACTGGCAGTAGAAATTGCCTAGAAATTTCAATGATGTGTAAAGAAAACTGGAAGAGTTTAAGCTTTCTATAAGTCCATTACTAATATAGGCATTTGTGTGTGTGTGTTTAAAAACACACATGCATACAGATAGTCTCTGATCATTGTTCATATATTTCCTATTGTTTACTAGGCACTCCCTTAGGTAGGGAGGTTACTACAAAGACTAAGATGAAGTTCCTAGCTTCAAGAATTTCAGTCAAGCAGAGAAGTCATACAAGAAAGGGAATGTTTACAGTATGAAAAATGTGGGTAAAGAAGAACAGAGATTGTTAAAGGAGATAGGCAGTATGTAACAGGAGAGAATGATATTCTGAGAGTTGAATAATTCTGTGTAGAGTTGAAGTTGATACACAAGAAAAAATTTCAAAAGTGAATATGAATTTTCCTGCAAAATAAGTAGGGAGAAGAAAGTCTGAATATGAGTATAGAATTAGATGTAGTTGAGGACAACATCCAAATTTATGCTTTGGATACCTGTGCCCAATGTTGTGGAATATCAAAATAGCATATGTGTGCTGGGCATTACTGATGATTCTTTATTTATGAAGGTCAAAGTGCAAGGTGGGGAGGTATGAGAAAAAACATGGAAATGTCAGGATTTCCATAATGAATTAATTCAATAAATATTTCCAAAGCCAAGTATTTTAGTTTTTACCTACTAAACAGAAAAAGTTTAAAGGGCTGTATTGTATAAAATTGCATCTTACATAAAATATCTGGACAGATATGGACCTGGAGTGAAAAGATGGCAAACTCAATATCTGATCAAGTTTATACTCCACTCTCAGGTTTGTACATCCCTCAAGGCAGAAGCAAAAATAAACTTCTTTCTACAATCTTTATCTCTTAAGGAAAATCTATTGCATAGGTTCTTTCTTCCCATATCCTAAATGAAAATTTTCCATAGGCTTCTGTATAACTGATAAGAGCATGGAATAGTGAAGTAGCTTATAAATGGAGAAAAATAATGCAGATGAGACTACATAGTAAGGTAATCAAGACCACAGGCTCTTGATAAACAACTTCCACCTACAAGTATGTGACCATGGAAAAGTAATTAATTCTCTTTATATCCACACTTATTCACCCCATCTCTAACAGGACTACTGTGAAGACTAAATTAGTTAACATATAAAAGGATTTTACAATGGTGTCCAGGAGATAGAAACCATTCAATTTGTGTTAGCTGTTTATCATGTGAAATTAATAAAAGCTAATGGCTAATTGGTTAAGGCATGTTAAGAGGCATGAGAAAGAGATTAAGATGTTTTCTTTTTTAAATTGAGGTATAATTGACGTATATTAGTTTAAGTTATAAAACATAATGATTCTACATATTATATATAAAAAAGTGATCACCACATTAAGTCTAATTAACACTTTGTGACCATACATAAATTATTTCCTCTTGTGATGAGAACTTTTATGAGCTACTGTTTTAGCAACTGTCAAATATACAATACAGTATTAACTATAGTCACTATGCTATATATATTGCATCCCCAGGATTTATTTTGTAACTGGAAATTTATGCCTTTGACCCTCTTCAACCATTTCACTCTCCCACCCCTCACCTCTGGCAACTGTCAATCTGTTCTGTGTATCTATGAGTTGGTGTTTTTTTTTTTATAATCTATATATAAATGAGATTGTACAGTGTCTTTCTCTGACTTATTTCACTTAGTGTAATGCCCGCAGGGTCCATTTACATTATCATAAGTGGCAGGATTCTCTTCTTTTTCATGGCTGAATGATTCAATATTCCATTGTAGTTATTTATGCCACAGCTTCTTTATTCATTCATCCATCAGTGGTTACCTAGGTGGTTTCCGTGTCTCAGCTATTATAAATAAATAATACTGTAATGAATATCTCTTAGATATATCTTAGAAATAATGATTTTGTTTCCTTTGGGTATAACCCAGAAGTAGAATTACTGGATCATATGGTTGTTCTATTGTTAACTTTTTTTTAGGATTCTCTATACTGTTTTCCATAGTGACTGTACCAATTTATACTCCCATCAACAGTGCACAAAGGATCCCTTTTTTTCCACATCCTTGCCAACACTTGTTATACCTTGTCTTTTTGATAATAGCCATTCTAACAGGTATGAGGTAATTAACAACACAAGAAACAACAGATGTTGGCGAGGATGTGGTGAAAGGGGAACCGTCTTATACTGTTGGTGGGATGGAAACTGGTGCAGCCGTTCGAGAACAGTATGGATGTTCCTCAGAATGTTAAAAATAGAACTACCCTATGACCCAGCAAATGTGCTGCCAGGTATTTACCCAAAGGATACAAAAGTACTCATTCAAAGGAACGCAAACACCCGTATGTTTATAGCAGCATTATTAACGATAACCAATATCTCACTGTGGTTTTGATATGCATTTCCCTGATGATTGGTGATGTTGAGCCCTTATTCATGTACCTGTTGGTCATTTGCATGTTTTCTTTGGCAAAATAAATATTCATATCCTCTGGCCATTTTTAATCCATTTTTTTGTTATTGAGTTATATGACTTTTTATATATTTTGGTATTAACCTCTTATCAGATATATGATTTACAAATATTTTCTCCCATTAGGTAGGTTGCCTTTTCATTTGTTGATGGTGTGCTCGCTTCGGCAGCACATATACTAAAATCATTTGTTGATGGTTTCCTTTGCTGTATAGAATCTTTTTGATTTTATTTACTTGTTTATTTTTCTTTTGTTACCTTTGCTTTTGGTGTGAAATCCAAAAAAAACCATTGTCAAGACTGATGTCATGTAGCTGACCACCTATGTTTTTTTATTCAAGGAGTCTTATGGTTTCAGGTCTTATATCAAGTCTTTAAACCATTTTCAGTTAGTTTTTGTGTATGGTATAAGAAAGTGATCTAGTTTCATTGTTCTGCATGTAGCTGTCCAGTTTTCCACCTATTGAAGAGGCTGTCCTTTCCCCCTTGCACATTCTTGGCTTCTTTGTCATGAATTAATTGACCATGTAAGTGTGGGTTATTTGGTGAGTATTGTTAAGAGAAGCATTAATTACAAGTGGCTCACCATCTCCTCTGAGTGTGTTAAATAGTCCCCAAATTCAAAGACAGATGTTTATCTCCTAGGATATAAATGAAGACTGAGCTGTTCTGTTACTTAGAGAGAAGAACATAGCTACTATGTTGATTATAAGCTATCCTATGAAGATGGAAGTGAATGGTCAATATTGTAGAGCTGAAACTGGTTCTTAAAAATGAAGAAACAGGAATGCCTGGGCGGCTTAGCAGTTGAGCGTCTGCATTTGGCTCAGGGCATGATCCCGGGGTCATGGGATCCAGTCTGTCATTGGGCTCCCCATAGGGAGCCTGTTTCTCCCTCTGCCTCTGTCTCTGCCTCTCTCTGTGTGTCTCTCATGAATAAATAAATAGATTCTTTAAAAAGAAAATGAGAAAAATAATTTAAAAATGGCCATTTTATGAAACAATCAAGTTCTCAGGATCTGCAACAACTCACATGTGTAGTAAATAGAGACATCTGAATAAGTGCAGCATCTTAATGAAATAAAGGAGTGTGTACATAGAGAACACCTTAGTCATGATATAGGTTTACATTTTTATCTCATTACATTTGTTTTTATCAATGGCTGTTCTCAGTCTCTGAAAAATAATTATCATGATCACAATGCTTCTTATTCTCAGATAAGAATTGGTAAGATTATTCTCAGATAAACCTTCCTCATGCTGGCAGTCTCAGAATCACATGTTCCATTGTGTTGTGCTTGTAAGTGAATACTGGTAATAAAACCACACAATTTTCCCAGTCATAAGACATGATACTAATCTTTCTTAACAGTTTGTTCATGGGAATGTAATGAGGATTTCTAAAAATGTTCTTATTCTCCAATTTTGATAATATCATGTTTCTAAACAAATAACACTCTTTTGACTTAAAATGACTATTTAAAGTTTGTCTCTACGGATGTTATTCTTATTGATGCCAGAGACATGAACACTCATACTCAAAAGATCAGGTAAGAAGCAAAAGTACTGAAATGACAGAGTAATTCATTTTTGTGTAAGCCTTCATACATGTAGAATGATAAATGAAAATGATAAATGGAACTGACTTATAAAAATCACTTTTTTCCAATGTGAAGTGATTTTTTTTTCTTTTTTACTTTAGTTTAAGTGCTCTAAACAAGTCATTGCAATGAATCCATATCCACTCAGGTCTCAAACTATCACACCTAAGTAAATAAATAGGATAACTTTCTGTAAGATTACTTTTCTGCAGTGGAATGCAATAATCTCAGACTGAGTCCTTAATCTCTGCTAATTGCTAAGAATCAGACATTGTATTGTCTAAATTACTTCTTTTATTTCAGCATAAGGTATCTGGTTGAAACTCATGGTTCAATATCATGATAGCAATAACAGTTAATATTTGTTGATTTCTTCCCATGTGCTAGACACTGTAATAAATCTTTCATATATTATAACTCTTAATCTTTACAGTGAATTTGTGAAGAAAACTACTATCACCAATGGGAAATACCAAGTGCTAAAATAAAATTATATAGTGACTAGTAGAAGAAAATAGTTTTCAAATGAAAGTCTGACACCAAAACTTCCAGAAAAACTTTTCTCTCCTTTAAAAATTTTGGGGGCAAATCCATGAATTACTCAGAATATTTTAGGTTTAA